GGTTGGATTATTTATGAATAACGAAAAGGTGGGACTATTGTAATAAGACCATTAAAGGGTTGGATTGTTAGTTTCCATTTTCCCTTAGGGTTAAGCACTTGTATTTTAGTAGGGTAAAAAGTAAAAAATTACAGTATTAAAGATTGGATAAAACAGGTTATAACTTTAATCATTAAATGCCGCTAGAGTTTTTTTTTTTTTGAAATAAAAAAAAAAAAAAAAAAAAACTCTGGCGGCATTTACTCTTGCATATTTGTTCCATTATGATGTCGTCTTCTGATGCCACCTACACCTGCAATTCTGCAAACAAAAGTAAAATTGAAAACTAATTAATGAAAAGTGCATGAATAAAGTATAATAATTGCATCAGAAGTGTAATAGAAAATGTATCAATTTATCTTAAACTTAGATAGATATCTATGATGTAAGTGTTCCATATTTAACATGTAAATGCATAACATGACAATGTAGGTGCACTAATTATTAGTTCAAATCCACAAATCTAAAAATTATACGAGTGCATATCCACAAATCTATAAATTGTGCAACAATAATACGTAAAAGTGCAAGAAGAAACATTTATTATTGCATCCAATTGAACAACCAGTATTCATGTGAAAACATGGAATACACATCTATGAGTGCAATATTAAAATTTGCCTCTGATGCAGACTAAATAACAACATAGTGCATCGAACTATACATGCTAGTGTACCATTGACACAACATCATACCTGCAAAAAAGGAAAAAATAAAAACTAATAAAAGTGCAAACCGAAGTATGATAAGTGCAGGAATAGTTAATTAGAATTAATAATTAAGATTACTAAAAAGATGGATTCAGTGTATGATCAATTCAATGCATGTATACTAAAATATACTCTGTATATAATAAAATTCAACGCATCTATCACTTCTCACCAAGTCTTTTATAGTAGATAAGGGTGCTAAACAGATGACAACAGAGCCTCTCCTATCGTCCAACCTGGGAAGCTTTGATTCTGGGGAGGGAATCTCAGAGGTTGATATACTTCTTGCGCAGGGTGGAGGGGCTGATTTCTGGTGTTTGTTTCTTGTCTATTTTGTTGGGGTTGGTTCTAGGGATACCATCTTGAACAACCTTGTGCAAATAGGGATCCCGTGAGATGTCAGGACACCACAACACTGCTTTCACTCTTCAGCTTCTGTGATTTCTTGGCCGGATCATTTACTACTCATTTCTAGACGAGAGATAGAGAGGAGAAGATAGGAGAAGAAGCAAAGGAGAGAGTAGGAGGAGACGCAGGAGGGTCGGAAAAGATGGAGATGGTTAAGGAAACTGAGAAAGAAAATAAGGGAAGAAAGAAAATAATCGTGTACGGTTCTAATTTGAAAGAAGAATATGAGAGAATGACCCACTTACCCTTACACGTATGATCAGACTTGAAGGAACACTCATTAAATCCAACGGCCTTGATCTATTCTTTTTTACTCTCCTAAGATTAAGTTCTCACGTGAACCTAAATCTCTCTCTCTCTCTCTATATATATATATATAGGGAAGAGATCAAATAAAAAGAGGTTCTCCCGTGCAAAGTGCGAACGGTTGCACTTTTTCTTCATCGCGTTGCACTTTTGCGTGTTTCTCCTGCACTTTTTCTCGATGGCAAAAAACTTCGCTTTAATTATGAAATTGCCACCGCGTTTTTGATCAAATACAGTTCACTTTTGGCTCATTTTGAGCCATTAGATCTAAAAATGAATGCATGAGATTAATTCTTACTTTGCATATATGGGAAGACCTCTTTGTATTTGAACCATCTCCTATATATATATATATATATATATATATATATGGGATCTAAATTCTGAATGCATGCAAAAGTGCAAATTGCAAAACAATCATTGAATTCTAAAAATACTCCGTTAATTATTCTAACACCTAATATATTGATTAAATGTAATACTACGTATAATTGAGACAAAAATAGTCCCCGTTAATTTTTAAAATAGATAGATTAGATAAAAGTGAAGAAATAAAATAAAGTATTGATGAATTAGATAAAAAAGAAAGGAGTACGTGCTATAAGTCTATAATATGTGATGGATATGTATTATCCATGCGCCATTGGATTCATTTATAGCAGAGGTAGTTAGTGTTAATAATTACTTGAGCTTCAAATTGGAAATTCATGCTGCCCATAAATACTATTGGTAGTACGACCGATCTACTACCATCATTACAACTATTTACTTGGTCAGATGTATTCCTACTGTAAATAGGTTTCATTTAATCCGGATTCATTCTGCATACATATAGGATGTTTTTTTGGGACTATTTTCAGTCCCAGTCTAGACCAGACCGGACTTAAACAGATTAAATCAGACCAGACTTAAACAGACCAGACCAGACCAGACTTAAACAGACAAGACCAGACAGACCAGACTTCCGTAGTTATAAAATACACAGAGACCAGACGTTTACCAGACCAGTTCGATCAGACCAGACCAGACTTAAACAGACCAGACCAGACCGGACCAGACTTAAACAGACCAGACCAGACCAGACCAACAAATTTCAGTCCAAAAGAAAACATTCATACTCAGGCTTTGTTTGCAACCACTTAAGAAAAGTGATTTTGACTTTTTTTTTAACAAAAAAGCACTTATTTTACCAAACACTACCAACTTTTACTTTATCGGCTTCCGTGTAGAATCTACTTTTTACTTTTTCTATTACACAAAAAGCACTTATTTTACCAAACACTACCAACTTTTACTACTAATCACTTTTTATCAAAAGTGCTTTTATTTAAGCACAAGTGGTTACAAACAAAGCCTCATATAACTGGGGATTAATTATTACGGAGTAATATACTTCGTATAGAGAAAGAGTACAAATATACTTAAAATACATGGAATATGTGCAAACATGTATACTAATACTTCTCAAGTTTTAAAAGGGTAAAAGGTGTAATGATACCTCTGATATTATTACTATAAGACTCAAATTAAATCTTTGGGAAAACTGTCAATTTGGTACTCATACTTTCATGAAAAAGTCAATTAGGTCCTCGTACTTTTAAAAAGATCAATCAAGTCCCCGAACTTTATAAAAACATTCAATTGAGTCCATTTGCAAGTTAATTGTCATCAACAAATGCCTGATTGGGCTTCCACATGTGTGCCACGTTAGCAAAATTATTGTTGATTCGACTGCCACATACGCCCCACGTCAGCGGGCGACCTGCTAACATGACAAGTAACCTGCAAATGGACTCAATTGAACGTTTTTACAAAGTTCGGGGACTTGATTGATATTTTTAAAAGTACGAGGACCTAATTGATTTTTTCATGAAAGTATGAGGACCAAATTGATAATTTTCCCTAAATCTTTTAATTGAATGTTATCAAGAATATAGGACTATGTAGGCATGTATGCACACACATGCACATATACTTTTAAGGGTATATTTACATCTTTCCCTTAATAAAGATATGGACTTTTACATTAAAAGTTGAAGCTTAGCTAATATAGGACTGTAATTCAAGGGAAAATTATGATGTTTTTACTTGGAATGTAATTTGCTGGTTTGGTCTGGTCTGGTTTCTTTGTATTTTTATAACTACTTAAGTCTGATCTGATCTGATCTAGTCTGGGACAAATTACATTCCAAGTAAACACATCCTTACACCAACATGACTAAAAGGAAGGTAATTTCTCAAAACATGACTTCAAAACCAGATGGACCGAAAGATGACTCAAATGTATCCGTGCATTTTAAAGGAAAAAGGAATTTTGTTATTAAACAGAAACCAAATCGACTTTTAGGAAATTGCATGAAATTGGGGGCCAAGTAAGGGACTGAGGTGATTCAGGGGAGGGGGCTGGGATAAAGTAGGAGAAAAGTGTCAAATAGGTCCTCGAACATTCATAAAAAGGTCAAATAAGTCCTTATATAGGAGGCTCTGTCCGGCCGTCGCGATTTGGGGCGGTTCCCGGTGGAATTTTTTGATGAAATTTTTTAGCATCTTATTCATTAAGTCTCGTTTACTCATACCAAATTTCAGATAAAACTTCAATCGGGAACGCATTCAAATTAATTCTTGAAGATAACTGCGCATTTAACCGCACAATTATCTTCAAGAATTAATTTGAATGCGTTCCCAAATTAAGTTTTAGCTGAAATTTGGTATGAGTAAACTAGACTTGATGAATAAGGTAAGATGCTCAAAAATTTTCATAAAAAAATTCCACCGGAAACCACCCCAAATCGCGACGGCCGAACAGAACCTCCTATATAAGGACTTATTTGACCTTTTTATGAAAGTTCGATGACCTATTTGACAGTTTTTCCGGATAAAGTAGGGGTCTGTGGTGAGGCTGGGATCAAGTGGCACAGAGATAGCGATGCCAACTAGACTGGGGCGACGGTATTGACAGGCCATAGTGGTGGCGGTGATTAGTCGGGGTGACGGTCACTATAAGGCAGATAACTGTAAATGATTGGACCGGGTAATTGTAACTGATTGGATCAGGTAATTGTAACTGGCCTGGTCAATAACTGTATCTAGATTGGTTAGATATCTGTGACAGGTCGAGTTGAGTAACTGTAATTGACCTGATCGGGTTGGATAAGTGTAACTAGTGAGACCAAACAACTATAACTGATTAAGTCATGTACGATAACTGTAACGATGAGTCATGTGAACTTAACAAGGCTATAATAGTCCCCATGCCCAATGATTATGCCGTCGAGAATTTTTTTTAGTTTATTAAAAACTCAAAGCCTATTCCGGCACAATCTCATCCTTCATAATTAAGTAATTAACTACATAAATTAAAAACTAAATCATTGGGCATAAACTCAATTAAAAACTCAATAATTTAAATTAACTTCATAAATTTAGTTTATTAAAAACTATCTTAAACACTTTTTGCACAACTCTCCATAACACAATAGTCATTTTTATCTTTGTTTTCGTGACAAATGTAAGAAGATAATTTAGGGAGAGGAAGTGGATAATTCTCTCAATTTTGTTGTGGGACTTAGAAAATTACGAAAAAAATACAAAAAGAAAATGAATGTTCCAAGAATTCCTGAGTGCAAAGTGCGCGCGGTCTTCTTCAATTCTCATATGCTCTCTCCTCTGTGAAGTATTGCGCAATTTACGCTTTCATCTCCTTGTGATCTAAAATGGAAGAAGAGCGTTCAAAAAAACCTTTCCAGGTTTGTTCCCGCAATCAATAAAACCACTTATATCTAAAATTTTCCGTTAATTTCATTCACTTCAATCTCTTCTGCTTCTTCGTCGTTATTTATTTATTGATGCCTAAGTTTCACTTTTGTTGCAACCATCTATTTATCTTACACAGGTTTTAGATTCAGCTCCATTGTTGTTGGAATATGGAGCTTCATCTTTTTATTCAATTTCAATATATTGGCTGCCACAATTTGTTTTTTTACAACGGCCTAATTATATTGTCTCATTTCCTATTGACCTAAAATGTGCAAAGTAACCTCGCCTTGGACATGAGTACGGGAAAAAGGAAAAGTAAATATTGTTTGAAAATGTAATTTACGGAGAAGTGCAAAGAAATAATTTTTCCAATTTCCAATTTGCATTGTTAACGTGGCTTCGAAAAAAATCCTAGGTTTACTAAGTTAATTAATTTGCAGAGTAACTAAGTTATTTCTCCCATAATTGAATATGTATGAGAGGAATAAGCTTGTACTGTTTCAACAATTTGAATGTAAGATTTTTTTGAGAATTCAACGTGCCTTTTTGCAATTGCTACTCTTCTTAATGCCTCAAGGGATCCTTGATTTGTTTCAGCAAAAAACTATACCACTGCAACTCTAAAATAAAACAGTATAATGATTTTCTTTCTTGTTTTTTTTTTGTTTGTAAATAACTAGTATACTATTCAAGTTCAAGTGGAGCTTCTCTGGAGAGTAGTTTCCCAACTAATCAGAAATCAAAATGAAAAAGGCCTTCGATCAAACTATGAGGGAGATGTAAGTTTGATTCATTACTATTATGATCTATCATCAAGTAGGTACTCAAAAATATACTTCGTTTATGGTAAATGTAATCCCCCTTTTATGATATAGATTATTTAAGTAAAGTTTGTTCAATCACTATATTCTATATTAATCTGGAAAGAAAGGAAGTGCCTTCAGGGGGTGATCACCTCTCGGTGCATGGACAGCTATTGCACATACTTTGTGCATGTGAAACAGCATGAATGAACTTGGAAGGTTCATGCGCTTCATAATTTCATGTTATATCTTCTTCTTTTAAATTTAAAACACTTGTATGCACCTTTTTGACTTCATGACAGTCTTGTGTGAAAGAAAATTGATTAACCACAGAGAAAATTATAATAATAATAATAATAATAATAATAATAATAATAATAATAATAATAATAATAATAATAATAATAATAATAATAATAATAATAATAATAATAATAATAATAATAATAATAATAATAATAATAATAATAATAAGTAAAGAGTAAATTATAGTTCTTCATCAAATATTACCTTTCCTTCCATTGTGGGGCTAGCTAATTTGATCATCTTCTGCAGAAAGCGGGAGGTTAACAAGAAAGTTCTTAAAGTCTCTTCAATAGAACAGAAGGTATTCTAGCTTCTACTTATTCTCTAATATCTAGTACTCCCTCGCTCCTTTTTATATGATTTTCATGATAACAAAATTTGACGCAAGATTTAGTAAACACAACTTACTATATTTAAAATCTATAAACAAATGTTAAAGAAAAAACAAAAAAGAAGAGTTGGTTTGGTCAATGTATACTAAAAGTAAACCGATCATATAAATTGGGACAGAGAATATTATGCATATGTTTTGAGATTTGGACAGAAGTAGTCATTTCTAGCAAGACCACTTAAAACTTGTCTCTGAGAATGTTATCAAGAATACAGGAGTTAGTGAGTTACACCTTGTTGTTAACACTGGGACCGGCTAGACTTATAATTGTATAAAGAATAGCAACTTACACTAGTGGAATCATCTTCGTTTCCCTCTTAAATTTATATAGATTTATTTATTGTTGAAATTTATATAGATTTATTTATTGTTATGTATATATTTCTGCTTTGCTATGAAATCGGGTAGAGCTGTGCTTAAAAATTTGGCAGCAAGAATAGCTTAGATGTCTTTTGCATGATATTAGCTGGTAGCAATGTAGCATGCACCAAAATTTGAGGACATGATGTTTTTAGCCCTTATTTTTTTGTATGGATCTACCAAAAAAACAGGTGCTTGATTCCACTACAAATGAGCCATGGGGTCCACATGGATCACTTCTAGCTGATATTGCACAGGCTACTAGAAACTAGTATGTTGCAAGTTCATCCTTGTGAACTCTTTCTCCTTCGCAAACAGTTTTCTTTTGGGATTCCATCTAAGAATTAAAGGTTGGCCTTTTAATTATCCACAGCAATGATTATCAAATAATAATGGCTGTCATTTGGAAGAGGATCAATGACACTGGGAAAAACTGGCGACATGTTTACAAGGTTATTGTGAATTGTGATACATGTTCTTTTATTCTCTTTCTAATTACTCCGTATACCTTTTTGGAGCCATTGTATAGGCAAAAATACAATTGAGCAAATCTATGTTTGGATTGACACATATTTTTTCATTTTTTCTTCTTGATTTCAACTCACTTACAAAAGTTACAGTAAATAGATAATATACACTTTTTTATTTACTCTTCAGGCTCTAACTGTTCTAGAATACTTGGTGGCACATGGGTCAGAACGTGTCATAGATGAAATCAGGGAACATGCACATCAGATAAATGTAAGCTTCTTTTCCACGGATGTTGTAAGTTAGACGAGATGCATTACTAGTTGTTGTACGGTTTCATATTCCCCCCTGCTTGCAACAGACGCTATCCGATTTTCAATATATTGATTCCAGTGGCAGAGATCAGGGAAGCAATGTTAGAAAGAAATCTCAGTGTCTTGTAGTTTTAGTAAATGACAAGGAAAGAATGCAAGAAGTTCGTCAAAAGGCATCTGCAAAGCGAGACAAGTATGTTTCATTCTGCAAACGTGCACACACACCCTTATTTTTGCATCACAAAGATACAATATTACACTGACTTCATTCTTCAAAATTGTGAGATACGTTTTGATTGTACCACATCAGTGGTCCAGAGGGTTCGAGTCTAGTATGTAAGTTTGCGGTAAACCTCACCTCTTGAAGATTTTGTGGGCGAGTTAGGTCCAATTTAACATGGTATTAGAGCCGGTCTGATGGTGGGTTGTGGAACACCTGCCCACTTTATGGTTTACGCCTTTAGGTTACCCGGGAGTTGATTTGGGCCTGTTTGGCCACCCTTCACTTGCCCAGCCTGTATTGGGTGTAGGAATATTTATGGAATCAGTTAGGCTCAAGTTAGGCATATGAAATATGAACATAAGAACATGTAGCCAATTTAATTTAACTATATGTCGTTGTTTGTAGTTCTGGATCTATATAAGACCATATAATGAAATACTATATATACATTTTTTGTGTTCCTTTATCATAATATCAAGTCAAACTTCCTCACTTAATTGTAATTTCTTATAGATTCCGCAGCGTGTCAATGGGTAGTGTGACTCATCCCAGTTCGTATTCAAGTAGAAGAGGATACGATGAAGGTCGTTATGGAAGTAAAGATGATGATCAAATTGGTTATTGGAGGGAAAGAGGATGGAGCCACAAAGAAAGATATGACAGAAGTTATGATGAAGGCGACAACAATTATGCATATAGTGATAGCGATTATCGTGGAAGTGGAACAAGCCAAAGCATGTATGAATATAGTAATGGCACAAGAAGTAGAAGCTTTGACAGAGGGAGAGAAATTGCATGTGACGGCAGTGGTCAACATTCATCAAGGTAACTCTCATCTTCTATTATTGCCAATAACTTTGCACTCTAATAGGAACTTCTTGATTAATAAATTAGTACAAAGAGGCTTCTACATGACATGTCTGGATCTGTAATTCTATATGTTGAAACTTGAAATGTGTGATTAGTGACACTGATATGGTTGGTCGGTTATGTATTATTATCTCTGAATTACAGAGGAGGTGGTGCCAGAGCTGAGGAGTGCCCAGAAAATGAAAGGTTCTTTTTCCTCATTTCTTTTGATACTCTTAAGGAGTGTTTGGGTTTGCTTAAAAAAAGCGCTTTTCAGCTTTTGGCTTAAAAAAAGTTGAAAAGAGTGTTTTCAAATGACAGCTTCTGCTTAAATTAATCACTTAAAAGCTAAAAGCTGGAAGCAGGTAGAAGGGTGCTTTAAACTGCTTCTCACTTTTTCTATTACACAAAAAGTACTTATTTTACCAAACACTACCAACTTTTACTTTTCCAGAATCACTTTTTTCTCAAACACTACCAACTTTTACTATTAATCACTTTTCTCAAAATCACTTTAAAAAATCACTTTTTTAAAGTTGAACCAATTGCAAACACTCCCTTAGAGCATCTCCAAGGGCTTATTAAGAATTCCATTTTCTTTGACTTCAATAGCACCATATTTTTTTGTCTCTACCGGAATCTTCATATATGAAAGAATAAAATATAGAGAATCTAAGCCATTCTCCATCAAATCTTGTAGGCATTTACATGGGAGTTTGGGACCCACCTATTTTGAGATGTTTAAAAAAGGATGATTCCTTAATGATGAAGAGCCATTTTAAGCGCAGTGTTGGGAATGTAATAAAATTTCACTCTATGTTTTTAACTTTTCACTCATGTGCACATGGACACACAATATGAGATTAGAAAAAATTTGTATGAAGAAAAATTAAAGTGCTTTGTAATTTAGTCAATAATAGTTTCCTCGAAAATAGATACTACATAGTAACTTTGGAGATGCTCTTATTTTGGCAATAGTCTGCTACAAAGAATTGCTAATTAACAAGATTTTCTACCCTCTCTAGCAATCAACGGCTTGAGAGGAAATTTTCAGAACAGAACCTTGCTCCTCTGAGTACGGAGGAGGCTGTTGGTGCACACACACATAATGCTGGGTATTGTATGTAAATTATCATGCCTTAACCCTTTACTTGGTGCATATCGAATATTCATTATTTTTTTTCAATGATAAAAAGAGATGTGGAAACTTCACTTGTGCCTGATGCAAGTACAGTTCAAGGCATAGGTGCACCAGAAAACAATGAGGTTGTTGGATTGAGTGAGATTGATCCCCATGCTTCCTTGCCAGCAGGTAACTCAATTAAGATGAAAAGGCTGATATGGTTCTTTATTTTGAATGTTTCTAATAAGATTTTTTAAGATCTAATATGATCTAAATCTTTCTGACATGATTTAATCTGATCCGAGCCTTTCTGATTTAGTCTGAATCTTTCTTACTTCATTGAGGGTTTGTTATTATTATTAATATTATATTGTTATTCTTATATATGTAATATTAATATTAATTTTAATATTAATATTGATCATAATCACTTTCAAAAAAATTGATCATAATCATTATGCTTGTAATTATAATTATCATTATCATTATAATTATGGTTATCATTATTAAAAGGATTATCATTGTCATTATATTATGTAGTATTACTATTATTGTTTTATTACAAATTACAAATACCAACAACCTATGTTTGTATACTCATAGTAACATACAAGCCTTAATAAAAATAAAAATGCAGTAATAATAACAATATGGTTTACTTATAATACTATCACTTATATAATAATAGAATCAACATATGGTGTCATATTAATAACAATAACATAATAATGATAGTAATAATATTAATAGCAATATTCATAGCTAATTACGTAGTATTATGGAAACAACCTTACATACAAATAATAACAATAACAATAACAATAATAATAAAAAAGTAATAAATTATGTAGGAACTTTTCTGATTTGATATGAATGTTTCTGATCAAAATAAAATAAGAATAAAGAGTGAGCAATAAGATTAAGATGAACATAACAGCTCCTAAAATTCTAAATATTTTTTAAATGCCTTCTTAGAAGCAGCGCATGATGCCACTAGTACTGCTGCGGGCCCTGAAATTGATTTACTTGGCTCTCTAGTTGAATCATTCTCTTCCAACCCACTAGCCCTTGTACCGGCTGGATCACTTACTACAGCTTCACAGGTTAATCCCTCCGACTTTTAGTATTTCTGGACTTGCATTTGCATCATTATCATCATCCTCTGATGCCAATTGGTTTGTTTTTGGTGAGTATTCCTCATAGATTGTCTACTGGGGTTGAGTCTATAAGGCTTTCCACATTCCACAATGATTAAAAGTGAAGAAAACCAAATTTGGGTCTTTTCAAACTTAAAACTTTACATCCTATGTATAGAGGTGTCAATAAGTGGGTATATTAACTTTTGGGGATGATATTCTCACCCTCTACTCACCCCTTTGTTCAGACCAACAAGCATAGAAGAGGGCCCACCCATCAGTTTCTCTCCAGCAAAAAGATGAAGGGGAGAAGATTTTAGCGACCACCTCTTTTTCTATAATTATCGAATGTTTAGAACAATTTTTTTCTCTAAGTAGGAATATAGTGTTTGTAGTTAATAATTTGTATTAATCAAATAATACTAAATATAATATTTTTAATGAATTTTTTTATCAAGGAAAAAGTAACTATATCCAAATTAAAAACTACATCAAATTGTGGTGTTTTTACTCGTGACATATTCCGTTTTTTATTTTTTAAAAGCAACATAAATCATATGCAGAAAAACATGGAGAGCGAGTATATTTACTCGTCCTGGGATATAGGGAAAAACTGGATTAACCAAGTACATACACTCTTTTCGTATTGACGTAGTGAATATTTAGGTTTGTTGGTGGTCAAGGGATGTGGATAGCCTAAGGCTCTGTTTGCAAGTGATTGTGCTTAAATAAAAGCACTTTTTGGGAAAAAGTGATTAGTAGTAAAAGTTGGTAGTGTTTGGTAAAATAAGTGCTTTTTGTGTAATAGAAAAAGTAAAAAGTAGATTCTACACGAAAACCGAGAAAGTAAAAGTTGGTATTGTTTGGTAAAATAAGTGCTTTTTTCTTAAAAAAAGCCAAAAGCACTTAGATTAATTGTTTGCAAACAAAGCCTAATTGTGAGATAAAACCTCATTTCTTTAGAATCCATGTAAAGTGACATAGGCCCCATTTAGGGTGATGTCCAGGATTGATATCATACTGGTGGTGAACCCTTCTAAGCTTTGGAATCCAAATTCTGATCCTTCGGAATTATCAGGAAGTGAAGTACTTTTTTATGTAGGGCCTTGAGGATCCCTTTGGTGGTGAACCCTTCAAAGTTATCCCATCTTTGAATGGCATAGCTGCTCAACCTCTTGAATCTGTTCCTTCATCAACTCAAAATCTTGATGTTCCTCAACCAGCAGCATCTCATATCTCCAGCCAGGATATTGACATATTGGCTCATATTCTCCCACCATCTAGGAGTGTTTCACAAAGTGAGCCACCAATCCCGAATTACCCAATTGCATTTCTACCTCAATCTACCCAGCAAGCCCTGCATATACACCTTGTATCTCATCAAAGCGGTCTGACTGCTCAGCATGGCTGGTTTCCATCTCATTCTGGTCAGGCATCTTTGATGACAGGTTTTGCTGCTCAACCTGGGCAACAGTTGTTACAGACAAGTTTTCAAACTACTCATGTTGATTCAGGAATGTGGTTTTCTTCCCAAACCAACCACCAACCTCCATCTTTGGTAGCTATTCCAGCTCAAGCTGGTTTCGTTGGAGGTTATAATGTACCTGCCGGACCTCCACACTCATTTCCACACTCGATGAGTATACAAACTGGAGCAACAACTACAAATGATCATAATAATTATAATAATGCTCAGAGTTTTATCTCACATCATCATGGCGCCCAAGTGCCTTCACAAATGTCGGTTGCCCTTCAATTTCCAAAAACTCAAACAGCATCAACTGTCTCCCCTTTAGCCATTCAGCCTCTTTCTCAGCCAGCCAAAGAAAAGCTTGAGATAAAGTCAACTGTTTGGAGTGATACACTCAACCGTGGACTGGTCAATTTGAACATTTCTGGGCGTAAGTTCTCACCAGTTGTGACCTCTATGTGTGTGTTTCGATTTTGTATCATTTTTTTTGTTAATATTGTCCAACATCTACAATTTATCCACATATGGCCCACCATAATTATAGTCTGTTTAGTAGCCCCCCATTTGGCTTATTTTGCCTTTTCTCCATATAAGTAGTCATTGACTTACTTATTTGGTTGAAATGGAATTTATAGTACACTTTTCCTTTCAGTAGATTCAGCCATTTCAGTTGGATAACTCTTACCAAGCAGGCCTAAGCAATGAATTTAACTATATTGTCTAGATTTAAGGCTGATGCTCGTGTTTCAGCTCTGATATGCTGTTGGGTTATTTTAAATTGAAATTAAAAAAAAAAAGACACATAATCTTTATAAATGTCATTTTTATGTGCAGCTAAAACAAATCCATTAGCCGACATTGGGATGGATTTTGAGGCAATGAACCGCAAGGAAAAGCTAAAGGTTAATCACACTAACACCACAGGGACACCAAGTGTTATTACAATGGGAAAAGCCATGGGATGTGGCTCTGGTATGGGCCGTGCTGGTGCGGGTTCTCTTAGACCTCCACAAACAATTCAGATGGTAGGGGCTCATACAGGAGCAGGAATTTCCATGGCAAGAAGCTACAGAGGAATGAACAACCAAACAATGGGTATAGGAATGAGTAGGCCAATGCAGCTGCAGCAGATTCAACAACCTACTACAGGCTTTCCTCCGGGTCCAAATGTAGCTGGAGGAGGTTACTATCCTCTGCCTGGAGCTAGGAATTATGGTCAGTTTGGTGGTGGATACAGTTGAGGTCCAATCAACCTTGGATTATGCAAATGTTGTGGACTTGCAGGATCCGTTTGGAAGGTGCGAAAACACAAGATAAACTGATAAGGAAGAAAAGGAGAGGAATATTGGAGTGCAAAATTTGGTGGAAATAAAGATAGGGTCAAACTTAATTTTTTTTTCTCCAAGAAAACTCACTTGGTGTTTTATCGTTTCGATAGAGTATGCATACAAGTAAGATTGTTATCCCTTCATTTATTTACATGTATATTGGGCTTTAGTGCTTGACATATAAATTCTATTCATTCCCTATTTGAAGGGGTTAGTGATAATGAAAGTACAGATTTTTCTCCAGCACCTTTTTTATATTTTTGTTCAAACTCATTTTATATATTATTTGGGTGCAAATGACTTTGCACCAACCCCAATGCATGCGGTTATGCACCCCATTATTTAAAAAATCTGTGAAATAATGAGTCGTAAACATTAATTTATTCAAGCAAATGAAGTGATTACATTAACTTTTTTTTAACATAGAGTTTGTAATCAAAATTCGTCCCAAATATGGGGTTCAAATTTGAATTCCCCATTATTATTATAATTAAATAAAAGGCAAGTAATTTAATATTCCTTCTGTATTTTATAGTTTTTATATTACTATTACACTTATCAATTAAACTAGATAAAATTTATACTTAAACACATGTTTTCATAATTTGAATGAAGTATATGTGTTATTGAAAGACGTTAAAAAGTCCACTTACAATAATTCAATCAAAATTGATATGCGTACCTCAAAAGGTACCTCATTTATACCCCATATAAAAACCCTTCCCCATTTTTACCTCACTCCCTTTCCCATTTTAAAAGTTTACCCCCAACTCTCCTCTTCCTTCCAAAACTCCAGACCGGCCCCTACATACTCCCTGCACTCCCCTGCGACAACACCCTCCCCTCTTTCTCACCGCGACAACACCGGCCAACACTCCCCTGCGACAACACCCTCCGCGACAACACCGGCCAACACTCCCCTGCGACAACACCCTCCGCGACAACACCGGCCAACACTCCTTCCGTCTCACCCCCCTCGTCTCACCCCCCCCCCCTCTCTCTCTCTTTGTGTTTCGAACGGAGAGCTACAGTGTTAGGGCGAAAGGAGGTCATCCATGGACACCATTTGCAACCCTCTTCAATGGAGTTGAGCTACAGATTGTCCACAGACTCCCCCCGGTATGTCTCTTTCTCCCTTTTTCATCTTTCTTCATTTTTTATTATTTATTTTTTAATTCATATGTAATACTCTATATATCTTGTAATGTTAATGGTTGAATATCTTGTGTTATTGTGATGAATTTGTGATGTTTATTCTTACAATTTTAGTCCAACTATTCTAGGTCATTAATATGCTCATAACATGTTTGTTGAATTGCTTAAATGAACTTTTTGTTTATGTCCTCTTATGTTATAAGGATTTTGGATTTTTGTTTTACTAGTATAAGTTTCAACTTTAAATTGTGCATATTGTTGTCTAGTGTATTACTTGAAGTGCATATATGGTTGATTTCTCTTAGTAGTTGGTAATGGGATAGTAGTTTAAAAATTGTTTGTAGTTGTCTGTCATGTGAAATTAGTTGTCTGGCAAGCCATTTGAGTTGTCTGTCACTTCATTTTGAACAGTTGAAACTAGGTTTGTAGTTGTCTGTCATGTGAAATTAGTTGTCTGGCACGCCATTTGAGTTGTTTGTCACTTCATTTTGAACTGTTGGAACTAGGTTTGTAGTTGTCTGTCATGTAAAATTAGTTTTCTGTCAAGCCATTTGAGTTGTCAAGTATAACCATGACAAATATTTACGACACTTATACAGACAATTTATGTATTGTAATAAAGGTTGAATTGAATACCCTACAGACAACTGAAAAGGCTTGCGAGACAACTAATTTCACATGACAGAGACAACTACAAATCTAGTTCCAACAGTTCAAAATGAAGTGACATACAACTCAAATGGTTTGCCAGACAACTAATTTCACATGACAGACAACTACAAACCTAGTTTCAAGTTTCAACAGTTCAAAATGAAGTGACTGACAACTCAAATGGCTTGCCAGACAACTAATTTCACATGACAGACAACTACAAACAATTTTTAAACTACTAACCCATTACCAACTACTAAGAGAAATCAACCATATATGCACTTCAAGTAATACACCAGACAACAATATGCACAATTTAAAGTTGAAACTTATACTAGTAAAACAAAAATCCAAAATCCTTATAACATAAGAGGACATAAACAAAAAATTCATTTAAGCATTTCAACAAACATGTTATGGGCATATTAATGACCTAGAATAGTTGGACTAAAATTGTAAGAATAAACATCACAAATTCATCACAATAACACAAGATATTCAACCATTAACATTACAAGATATATAGAGTATTACATATGAATTTAAAAAATAAATAATAAAAAATGAAGAAAGATGAAAAGGGGAGAAATAGGCATACTGGGGGGGGTCTGTGGACAATCTGTAGCTCAACTCCATTGAAGAGGGTTGCAAATGGTGTCCATGGATGACCTCCTTTCGCCCTAGCACTGTAGCTCTCCGTTCGAAACACAAAAAAATGAGAGAGAGAGAGAGGGGAGGGTGAGACGAGGGAAGGGTGAGACGGAAGGAGTGTTGGCTGGTGTTGTCGCGGAGGGTGTTGTCGCAGGGGAGTGTTGGCTGGTGTTGTCGCAGTGAGAAAGAGGGGAGGGTGTTGTCGCAGGGGAGTGCAAGGAGTATGTAGGGGGGTGGTCTGGAGTTTTGGAAGGAAGAGGAGAGTTGGGGGTAAATTTTTAAATGGAAAAGGGAGTGAGGTAAAAATGGGAAAGAGTTTTTATATGGGGTATGAATGAGGTACCTTTTGAGGTACCCATAGCAATTTTGTAATTCAATAATTCACCTAATCCCTCATCATCGCACATCATTACTTTTGTTTCCTTTTACTTTTCTCTTCTACTCCCTCTGTTCCTGAAACAAGTTCACTCTTTCCTTTTTGGATACTCCCTGAATTAAGTTCACCTTTCTTTATTTGGCAAATTATCTATATCAAAACAATGTCCAAACAGTAAAATTTACCCCCCAGTAAATTTATTTCCTTAATATGTGTGAAAAGCAATGATGAACTTCTTTCGGGGACGGATGGAGTATTACTTAACTCATCCTTCTACATTTGAGGGGAACACTATTCATAGAAACCTTTTGCTTTTATATACTACTCCCTCCGTCCCCTTTTAAAAATCATGTTTTACCATATTGAGATGTCCCTATTTAATTGTCACATACCTTATTTGGTAAAGTTTGTGTGGCTCAAAATTATTCTTACTTTATTCTTACTTTATCAATTATTATCAACCACACAAACTCACTTTTCTTAAAACTCGTGTCACCCTCTTCCGGGACATTTAAAATGGGACGTAGGGAGTACATAATACTCCCTCCGTCCCCTTAAGTTTGTCCCGTTTTACCTTTTTCGTCCGTCCCACTAAGTTTGTCCCATACCATATTTGGTAACATTTGAGTGGTTAGAATTCATTCTTACTTTATTTACACTTTATCAATTCAATATCAACCACACAATTCCACTTTTTCTTAAAAACCACACCACACCCCTCCGTCCCAAACTTAGGGGGACGGAGGGAGTAGATAATAATGTATTGCAAGTACATATATCATTCATACATTATTAGTCACTTCATTGATATTTGAAAAACAAGAGTTTTTTTCCGTATTAATGTTAATTAATTAATTAATTACGAATATAGGGTTGGGTTAAAAGTATTTACCAACCGTTGGGCGACTTTCCCTTAAGTAAAAATCGGGTCTCGCCCCAAACAGAACACTTCACAGAAGCCTCCCCCAACTGAAAGTAGCTGCTGCGACGGACGAAGAAGAAGACGGACGAACCGCCATCTCCAACTCCGGCGCTCCTCCATCTCCGGCGACTCCACTCCGGCAACCCTCCATCTTCATCTTCAACACTCTTTACTCCTTATTCTAGGTAAATCCAAATCCATTTCATATAATTTTGCACTTAGGGTTTAGAATGTTAATTTTTTTTTAATTTTGGGATTATGAATTGATTGTGAATGAAGTTGTTGTGAAATGTGAATATGTATGAAATGTTGAAATATGATTTTAAATTGTTTGTAAATTGTAATGTGTATTTTGACATTTGGGCATTTGGGTATAGTTGAATGTACCTAAATTTGGGTATTCAAAGGTAGACATTGAATGTAGATATCAAAATTTGGGTAGTTTGTTATTGAAATTTGAATTGTTTGTGAATTTGGAGTTAATGATATATTATAATTTTGGAAGCAATTTCTATTAAAAATGTGAATGTGTATAAAGTGTGTATATTGATGCCTACTCATGAATGTTGGACAATGAGTTGTTATTGGAAGATGGATTTCTCAAGCTTCCCACTCGTGTGTCATTGGGGAGGGAACTATTATGAGAATGGTGGGCAAATATGCCATGAAGGTGGCAGAACGAGCTTTGTCATGGTTTCTCGTGGCGCTTGCATGGTCGAGATCCTTCAAAAAATACATGCAGCGACAATGATTCATCCCGGCCGTTCATTGCGGTTGAAAATGAAATTTCCCATGAACGGGGGAAAGTACATGCTTATGCCGCTCATTGATGAGCTAGCTATAACAAATATGTGGGGCATAATTCAGATGGAGGATATGTCGTCGCTGGAGGTATACTTTGAGGAATGCTTTGACGCTAATGCTACTCAATCGACATCAAATGCTGGTGTATCTAGGTATGATGTCATTGCAGGGGTGAATGCAGGGAAGTCGTCAAAGGTTCCTGTACTAGACATGGTTATACAGGAGGATGGCAGGTATTTGCACAACGGTGCATCATTTGTGGATGGGCAGGGAAGTGATGATGATGCAGACGAGAACATCAATGGTGACGACATGACAGAATCTGATGAAGATGATGGTGATACTGTGACATCAACTGCCCCGTCTAGCCACTTCACTAGAATGTATGATCTCCCTGAAGGTTTTACTGATGCGTGGATGAGTGGATCAGGTGAGAAAAGGTTTACCCCCGATGGTGAGTTTGAGGTCGGTCAACAGTTTGACAACAAAGAACAAGTCATCAATATGGTGAGCTTGTATTCTATCAAACGGAACCAATTCTATCGGGTGATAGAGTCCGACAAACACAAATGGGTGGCACAATGCAAAAGGAAGAAAGAATGTCAATGCCCCTGGAGAATACGCGCCACAAAGAACAAAGGCAACCTTGACACCTTCACAATTGTGCGTTATTCTGGACCTCATTCTGCTTCTTGTGTAGGCAACATCGACACTACAGATCACGTGGCCTTGACATCAGAATTCATCTGTAAAGATGTGGTTGACATTATTCGCACTGATCCTTCTCTTAAAGTGCATACTATCATCGAGATGTTGAAGGAAAAATATGGGTATACGGTATCTTACCGGAGAACATGGATGGGGAAGCAAAAGGCCATAGCACAAATATTTGGCGGTTGGGAAAAGTCATATTTCGAATTGCCCCGTTTCATGACAGCGCTCCAACATTCTAATCCAGGAACTGTTGTTCAGTGGTACCCACCCCCCAATGGTGCGACAGGTTATATGATGTTTCAAAGAGTTTTTTGGGCATTCAAGGCATATATATCTGGTTTTAAGCATTGTCGACCCGTACTTACTATTGATGGCACACACATGTATGGAAAGTACAAGGGCACATTGCTCGTGGCCATGGGTTGTGATGCGAACAACCAAATTTTCCCAGTCGCCTTTGCAGTTGTTGAATCCGAGAATGGAGACAGTTGGCCATGGTTTATGGCATGTATTAGGCATTTTGTGACTAACAGGGAGTTGTGTGTCATTTCAGATAGACATGGAGGTATTGTTAGGGCAATGAATGAGGTTGGAAGTAATTGGGAGGAGCCTTATGCGCATCATAGGCTATGCATCCGTCATCTTGCTTCAAATGTGCACACTCATTTCAAAGACATTCATTTAAAAAATCTATTTGTGTGGACCGCACGGCAACATCAGAAAAAAAAAATTGATGGTGGGTTCAAGAAGATAGGTGAAATGAGTAGGGATGCACGACAAGTTAAAAAAAAATGTAATACAATTACAACTAATACAATTAGAACTAATACAAATTTTGTTTGTAGGCATGGAGGTGATAGCGGATCCAGGGCCGAGTGATCCTTCTGTCCTGACACTGCAGGCCTCACACAGGAGTGAGGATGTTTGGCTTGGCATGGATGTGCAGGTTGATAGGTGCCGCGAGCATCTGCGGGGTTTGTCCCATTTACATGTCGACCCCAGAGTCCTAGCATATGTTCGTGCAGCAGTTTTTTTTACACTGCACAGGTTAGTGGCTACTGTGCCTTTAGATAGAGCCCTCCTCACTGCTCTACTTGAGCGTTGGAGGCAGGAGACACATTCATTTCACCTCCCTGTTGGTGAGGTCACTGTGACATTGGGAGATGTGGCTGTACTGACTGGGTTAGAGGTTGATGGGAGAGCTGTTACAGGCACTGCTTGTCGACAGTGGGTGGATGAGTGTGAGAGGTTGTTAGGCATCCGCCCCGTTCTTAGGGCTGACCTTCAGGGGTCATCTCTTAGGATGCCATGGTTGAGGGAGCACTTCCAGGCCCTTCCTCCCGACGCTGATGAGATGATCATCCAGCAGCATGCTCGGGCGTATATATTGATGATGATGGGAGCCTCCATTTTCGCTGACAAGAGCGGAAATGAGGTTCAGGTGCTACACCTGCCTTTGCTGGAGAGGTTTGATGTAGCAGCACAGTTTAGCTGGGGTAGTGCCACCCTGGCTTATCTCTACAGGCAGCTGTGTCGCGGGTGCCAGAGAGGGAGCACAGAGCTGATGGGATTTTTGCTACTCCTCCAGATTTGGTCATGGGAGTATATCCACATTGGCCGTCCCATTATAGTTGGATATCATGGCATTGATGGACAGCCACTGCCTGATGAGCCTCCACGTCTGCTAGGACCACATCATGTACGGGGCGTGGACCCTCTAGGCCGTAGGTATGTTTTCAATCGTTTGTATTTGTGTTAGTTTTTGTTGAATGTAAATGCATTAATAAAATCCATATTATTGATATTGTAACATTAATGGTTAGGTGGCTATATGCTGGTTTATCTCGCATGTCATCCGCTACTGGCCTCAGTGTGTACAGGGATGCATTGGATCGGATGTCAGAGGACCAGGTATGGTGTGTGTAGTATAACAGTAACTAGAATAGGTGTAGAATAAATACTAATTTTGTATGTTTACGAAACAGATCACATGGATGCCGTATAGACCTGATATGTTAGCAGAGTTGCCCCCAGCTGGACGAGAGCAGACTCACATATGGCGAACACGTGTGTCGCTGATATGTTTTGACATTGTTGAGCTTCATTTGCCTGATAGAGTCATGCGACAGTTTGGGTATGAGCAGGTCATTCCACGTCCTATCGACACTTATGTAGAGCTGCATAAGCTGGATAGGCGTGGGAATCATACAGAGGATTGGGCACTCAGACATGTCCGATACGTGACTATGTGGGATAGGAGAGCTGAGCTAGCCGTGGCTGGGACACCCACATATGTGCCATCAGTTTCAGGAGATTACATGGGATGGTACTACAGCATCACTCGGTTGTTTGTGTCTCCTTCGTTCAGACTCCCTACTCATCATTATCAGCCTAGCTCATTGGCATTGCATCTTACGGTGAGTATATTACTAATTAGTAAAGTAAGTCATTTTATTTATGTAATACTTGTATGTATTTGAATGTAATTGTAATTGTATTTCGTATTGCAGACCCGAGCTTTGCAGCGCATACATCAGCGGGCTACTGCCACTGTGACTGATATTCCTGATGTGGACATGTATGGACAGACTCTGACAGGCATTGCCTCGTTATGCTCAGATGTGTTGGGTCGAGTAGACTACGGACATCTTATACACATGCCCGCATCTCAGGAGATGGCATCCACGTCTAGTGCAGCCGCGGCTTCATCATCCCAGACGCAACATGAGAGAGTGGTTCTTCAACCACGACAACGCCGTAGGCGTAGACATGAGCAGCAACATCTCCATGACGAAGCTGATGATGGGAACTTGTAGTTTGTCTTTTGTATTGTAGTTTTTCTTATGCAATAGATGTTGTAGGAACAATTTACAAGTTTTGATGTATTTTCTCTTGTTAAGTATTCTATGTTGTATTGATGTGTTCGAGTATGAATATTACATGATTATTTGTTATGGCATATATGATGATTGAACTGTATTATACCGGTTATGATTTGAAAGTTTTTTAGCGGTGTTTATAAGGTGTTTTTTATGTTGTTGAGAGTAGGTGATTATCATGTGTTGTATCTAGTTTGTAACACTTCAAAAGGAGAAAGGAGACCTTATTTGTAGCAAACAGATCGGTCTGGATTGAACCGGGGCGAAAAACAAGCTGATTTGGTGTTTTAGGTAATAGGCACGATCGTGCCTAAGGAAATAGGCACGATCGTGCGTGGCTGGCAGTAGCTGCTCGTTTGAAACCATATTTCAGGGCAAAGTCGCCAAACCGTTGGGCGACTTATAAGTCGCCAAACCGTTTGGCGACTTATAAGTCGCCCAACGGTTGGGCGACTTTGCCCTGAACACGGTTAAGGCCCAGCAGTATTTTGGTAAATACTTTTTTTCCAGCATTATTTCCGTAAATAATTAATTAATTAACATTAATACGGAAAAAAACTCGAAAAACAATTGAGGAAGCAGACTTTTTGGGGATTAACAGGTTTACTGGTATTTGCAAAAAAAAAAAAACAGGTTTACTGGTACCGGCACTCTAGACATGTCCCGTGAATCATGGACTAGTCGGTTTGGAAACACGACCGGTCCATCTCTACCCAAATCAAGTAGAACTTGGATCCCATTGATGGTTAAAACCTCATATCATAGGGATAGTCCTTCACTGAAGATTAATCAAATCCAATGAATCTTCTCTAAAGTTAAGTCAAATGAAGTCCGAAGGACCTTCAAGATTCAAGAATTATCTTACATTCAAGATCATTCGATGTTTTAAGATTCAGATATTCAAAGATAAAGACTTGATTTTTAAAAATATAAGTATTTGAATATATTGATTTAAATTCTTTGAATTTAAGTGAAATATTAGATTATTCTCAAATATTTGATTTAATAAAATTTACATTCAGGTTTAAATTTTGTTTCTCTTTGTTCTTTTGTTTATTCTCTCATCCTTCCATTAGTTTGTATTTGCTATCCACGATTAGGCCCACCCTATAGGCCTGGTCTTCGTTGTAATTAAAATGTCATTTAATGAAAAATAGTAAATGCCCCCGACATTTACCCACCTACATAGGTGCCTTTTGGGATTAAAAAAAAAAAGGCCGGAAGGTTTCACAGAAATTTCATTATGTTAATTAATTAATTGTATAAAGGCCATGTGCAATATAATTAACTTTAAATAATGCGAAGTTTAACTCTACTTAAAAGGACATAAAAGAAAATTTTAGTCTTTAATGCGTGCAGATGTTTTGGAAGCCAATTTTCATATCATGGAGGCTCTAAGCTCACCGTAGAGATTTCTAATTGATCACCTTTTTTTGAATGGTTCTAATTGATCACCTTAGTTCATCAAATTACTGAGAGCCGTTAAATAAATAAAAATATAAAACAATTAAATAAATTGGACGCTTATAAGGAATAAAAACTTTAAATGCCATCTCTCACAATGCATTTCTTAATAAAAGCATTTCTCAACTCCAGCAAAGAGTTAACATAGAAAATGCCATCTCTCAGAATGCATTTCTTAGTAAAAGCATTTCTCAACTCCAGCAAAGAGTTAACATAGAAAATGAATAGATACTCAATAATACTGATGATATACAGAAGAGTAATTGGAGAAAAATTATGAGCACCGAAAATGGAAAAGAATTGCCACAGGTCAATATCAGGGTTCATGAATGAAAGACTGGAATCGTGAGCCCAGTCCGGCAGAGAAACATTTAAATAAATTTTGTTGTCCTTGGATATAATGATAACACCAGAGAGATACATGCGTTTCTGGCAATTCGTTTATGACATGAATTGCATTCCTGGAGGAGGAACCTGGGACCTCAATAGCGGCTGGAGAGCCTTCACAACAATGCTCATATTGGGACGAAATTCTGCTTCGTATTGTACACACAATGCTGCAACTGCCGCCATCTACACCCCCAAACATTTGAACACCACAAAAACCAAAAAAATAAAATAAAGGATCAGATCTGATGGAAAATCATGTACTCTAGTACTAGTAGTTCATGCAAACAGATCAGGGCTTGTACTGTGTGTGTGGGCAACCAAGGCATGAAAAAGTCAACGAAAATAGGCCAAAATTTTGTATCTTCCCAATGTCTCATTACTTGTAAGAACCGAATTTGGCGATCTTTTCTTAGTTAGACGTTCCAATTCTTTTTCATTGTGTCTTGTTGAAAAAACTATTACCCTGCTAACTTCAAAATATGAAACTTTTTATTAAGAAAGGCCTGTTGTGAGATCTGGTCCATATGCCAAAAAAAACAGAACAAGCCTTGCAGAGAAGCTGTAGTGCGCTATGGGAAGGAGGAGAAACCTTGGCTACAGCTTTGGGAGGGTATTCTCCTTTGAGCCTCGGATCTACACACTGATGCACTTTATCTTCACTCAATCTTGGGGTGGCCTAAAGGTAAAAGTTCAGATATATAAATAGTTAGCAGCAAAAGTCTTCAATCTCAAGTTTCAACATAACAATAGAATATTAGAATGAATAATCACCCATGTGACAAGGCTTTGCTGTCCACGAGGCATAGTATGATCTACAGGTTTTCTTCCTGTCAAAAGTTCAAGCAGCACAACTCCAAAGCTATATACATCACTCTTCTGTGTTAGATGTCCCGTCATTGCATATCTGCACACACACAAAAATAACTAATATAAGTTAGTTGATCCGTGAAGTAAAAAAGAATAATAGTTCTAATGTGATGATTAAATTCATCATGAACTGACAAGCATACCCTACTGCTATCAAGATATTTTGGTAACATGAAAAGGTGGAATGAATATGAGAGGTTAACTAATGCCATTTTACTATGTTTGACTTTACTGGATTGCCAAATAGCTACTTCATTTGTGAACAGAATGCATTCTGTTATGGACTGTTGTTTGAGAATGCAGGGAGTAAATGCTACTTAGGATCCCTATGTGAACAGGGAAATAAAAGAACCAAGAGAAAGAAAGTAATTGCAGAAAGAGAAGGATAAGCGAAACTTACTCTGGCGCATGATAACCAAACGTTCCGAGAACTCTAGTGGAATGAAGCCTTGCAGCCATATCAGGAGGTTGATTAGACAGGTTAAAATCTGCAATCTTTGCCTTGAAGTTATCAAAGAGGAGGATGTTGCTCGATCTGATATCCCTATGTATTATAGACGGTTGGACCTTCTCATGCAACCATTCAAGCCCCCTTGCGGCATCAACAGCAATCCTTACTCGTTGAATCCAATCAAGTGGTGGGCCAGGCTGTGACCCTTCCACCCCCTTCCTTCCTGTGTGTTAAGTGTCCCACATCAAATTTATGAGACCACACCAAATTCTGTGAGGCATGAAATCTTAAATCCTAAAGATTCTTTTGGGTGAGTTAGGTCCAGTATAGTGGGGGTATTAAACTAGTTTGTTGGGGTTCTCGTTTGGAACCCATGGGTTAGGGCCATTAAGGCCGTTAGGCCTTTAGGCCCATTTAGGCCCACTCCTTGAGGATCCTTTTGGGCAAGTTAGGCCCAGTTTAATAACGTGTAACCCCCAAAGCAATCAACTTTTTTTATCAAGTTTATGTTTATTAATTTATTTAACTATTTATTTAATTCGTTTTTCATAAATGTAACATGACATTTTTGGAGGTTCATACCGTGCAAAACATCGTGTAAAGATCCCATGGTTGCGAATTCATATACCAACACACGGTGATTTCGTTCCACGCAGTAACCAAGCAGCTCAACAAGATTTTCATGTTTGATCCTTGAAACCATAGAAACCTTAAAACGAACAATAATGGATTAAATTGAGTGTTTACACAATTGATCAAGTCACACTAAAAAAACTCAATCCAATAGATTAGCAAGGACTCCATGCTTTATAACCCATATGTCTATCTTATATGCTTGATGTGGGACTCTTATAAGTACTGCCTCTGTCCAAAAATGTATATACAGATGGGATTAGCACGAGTTTTCAAAAACTACAGAAAATAATTGTTTTCCAATTCCAACCTTCTAAAAGGGAAAAAAGCAATATGGGTCCATAAAAGGTAAAAAGTGGAATGATGATTAAAAGGACAAAGCGGAACGTAAAAAGTTACTGAAGTTCAAATTAGAAAGATTGGGCACAAAAGAAAGAAAATTGTATGTGACAAAATCAGATGAAGGGTATATTAGAATATGCGGATGAGGGAATAATCTTAAGAAAATGTAAGCAAGAGTTAGAAGAATACCTGGGTTAAGAACTCGGCATCTGGCCCAGGAACGGATGACTCGTCTAATTTCTTCACAGCCACGGCTTTTCCGTTATTTGAATTTGCATAGTACACTCTTCCATAAGACCCTTCGCCAATTAATGCTTTTGATCCAAAAGTGTCAGTTCTTTCCTTTAGCTCGTCTAGAGGATAAGCGGGCACCTCAATGGGTGGAATTGCCCTTTTCGCTTGAGCTTTGACAGGACTTGGAACTTTTGAACCTTTTTGACGTCCTAACATATGGTATAAGATACGGTGCAAAAGTTAATAGGTATGTCCGCGAATGAATATGTACGATTAATAAACCCAGCATAATTTTCAAAAGTAAAAAGTACAACTCTTTTTAAGGCACACATATTAAAACACATAACCAAGTAATATACTCCGTATAAATTATGAATTTGTCAATATTCAATACCTGTAAGACCAATCCTTCTAGGTTTATAATACACAATATTATGGAGGACGAGAACATGGTTTATAGCAACTTTATATGCATTATTTTCTTATAGGTATTCTTATGGGTCATCCGGAAACAGTCTCTCTGTGCTTTAGTACAGGGGTAAGACTGCGTACATCCGACCCCCCCTTACCCCACCGTAGGTGGGAGCCTTTGCGGCATTGGGGTAAATGAAAATGATGAAAATGATCCTCTGCAACTTTCTGCGGGAAAAACTTTCAGGGATCAACTGAAACTTTCTGAGTTCCATACAACTAATAAACCTGATATGGGTCTGTAGCCAAAATCTGAAAATCTGAAATCAATCTCACCCTACATTATAGAAGGTCCTTCAGGAATATTGCAGTATTATCAGAGGGAAATTATTTGCAATGAATGATCATATAACTCTTAATTCTTAAAAAACTTTCCATGGATAACTATGATTTTATTAAAAAGATATATACAAGGTTTCCAAAGATCCACAATCGAATAGTATACCATAAACTGAAAAACTATGAAGTATCTTCTAACAAGGACATGAATAACCAAACAAAACATTGGATCTATGATGAAAAAGACATACCATCAGAATGCTTAGTGGGACTTTTAAGGAGCTCAGTTTCATGGCAAGGGTAAGATTCATCCACTTGTGATACGCAACACAACCATCTCCTCATCCTTGCTTTCTTTTTTGTATAAATATCTTCTTCGTCTGCACTTGGCTTTTCCAATGGCATAAAGTAACCAGGAGGTGGAGCATTTGACTGTGCAACAAGTTAATACATATGAAGACACTTATTCCCAGAATACCAGAAGTAATTGAAAGGAGTTACTTCCATACAAAATAAAATCCAGGCGGGATGATTAATCTGAAAATAATGAAATTATGTCACAATAACTTTCGGATTCAAAGTAAACAGGATATGGCATCTGATTCCACAAAAACGCAACTCCACATTTCAAGTTGATAAAATTCATTATTGGATCCATATGTACATCAACCAAACCCTACTAAAATATTGAATCAAATTGATTAGTTGGTCTAATCTAATGCCTTATAAGTTATAACCTCATTTGCCTCTATTTAATCTCTGAATGTGGACCTTTAACAACAACTACTTATTTTATGTATGGCCAATAAAGTTGTTCTACACAGTGGTATAAAAACAATAGCAACACAAACAATGAGAAAAACACAATTTTTCCAAAAAAAAATAGTAGTTCAAATAAATTAGTTTCCATACAATACAATGTAAAATCCTGTAGAATGATTAATCTTAAAATAATGAAATACTTGCATGATCATAACTTTCAAATTCAAGGTAAATAAATGACATCCGATCATCCTGACCACTCCATACTCAGACAAATTGTATATTTGTGATAGAAAGGAATATAAAAGTGATAATTGGGTTTTCCATAAACTCATTCATCTCTCTTTAACCTTTCAGCATGGAATTGTTAACCACGTTTGTTTGTTATAGCAAATACTTTTCTTCCAAACAATGATATAAAATCAATAATAAAAGGAAATGCAAACGAGGAGATAAGCATACCACAAGGCCTCGTCGATGAAATGTGTGATCCATCGACGAAAATATCAAGAGAACAAACAATTGTGATTATTAATCCTCAAACGGGAGAGAGAAATGTTTAAATAATCCCCACTCTTGTGGTGGGAGATAGATAGAGAAAGGGGACTGAAAGGGTCAATCCGAGATTGAATGGGAATGCTATCAAATACTCCAAAGAACATAATGGAATACAAGAAGCCTTAATAGAGAGTTGACAGAAAGAATGGGAACGAAGACAGGAAATTGAAGAACAACAATGGGCATGAATAAGAGGCCAGCCGAGATTCAAGCTCCGATTTCTCATATTCATTTCTCCCTCTCCTACTATACTACTCCTTAATTTAATTATGTAGGAAAAACTAGGGACGGCCAAGTTGCTGTGTTCTTTGTCTGTTTGGAAGTGGCAAGAAAGGACTTGAAGAGTGAAGTTAGAAAAGTTGATAGTGTTTGGTAAATTAAGTGCGGGTAAATAAAGGACGGCTTTGTTTGCAAGTGATTGTCTTAAATAAAAGCACTTTTGGAAAAAAGTGGTTAGTAGTAAAAGTTTGTAGTGTTTGGTAAATTAAGTGCTTTTTGTGTAATAGAAAATGTAAAAAATAGATTCCACACAGAAGTCGAGAAAGTAAAAGTTGATAATGTTTGGTAAAATAAGTGTTTTTTTCTTAAAAAAAAGTCACAATCACTTAAATTAAGTGATTGCAAACAGAGCCGTAATATAGGAATCAGACTTAAATTGAACTTGAACTTGATTCTAAATACATCGTAATATTTCTAAATATATTTAGAAATATATTTAAGGGTGTTTGAAATTGATTCAACTTGTGCTTTTTTTTAAGAGAAGTAGCATGAGAATCTGTTTCTGAAGTTGGTCTCCATCAACTTTTAAAAACTTTTTTAAGGAGTATTTTGAAGTTTTCAAAAGTACTTCTTCACTTTCACTCAAAAACTCCAATATTTACTTCCGCCTCGAAGAAGCAGAACCAAGATTCAAGAAATAGATCCAACCATCTTCTTATTGCTAGAGAAAAGGTCCTCCAATTGAAAATACACTTCAAAACTCATTCAAAATTAAAGGATGTTTATGGAGACAATTTTCTCATGATAAATTATAAGCATTAATGCATAAAAAAGACTCGATTACTTAATTTCTAATAAGTTGAAAGTGCATCTGCATAATCTCTAATAGCTCGATATCCTATCGACAGAAATAATACTACCGAGTTTGATATTGACAAAAATAAGACCTAATTACAATATGGACAATAATGAGACTAGACAAATTTGAACTGACAAAAGTGCCCTCATATATATATATATATATATATATATATATATATATATATATATATATATAGGGGAAAGATCAAGTACAAACTGTGTTTATTGTTGTGCAAATATTTGTACGATGCACCTTAACGTTCTTTGTATTGCATATAGAGGTTCAAAGTAGTGCATATTATTCAGCCATAAAATAGCAGTTGCACATTAACGTTCAATGAGTTGCACCGTAAAAAAGTTGGGTTTTATTACAAAAATGTCACCTTGCCTTTATGTCCTTTGGATCAACTCATCTGATGGTCAAGATGAGTTTGTACTTTGTAAATTAAGAAGAGTTTGTATTTGATCTCTATTATATATATATATATATATATATATATATATATATATATTAAAATCTACTCCAACCTTACCAGCCTCTTACGTCTGAACAAGAGCTCAAGTACGAGAACTTGCTCTTCCATTTGAACCAGAACTCATGTATAAGGATGGCCGTTCGGATTTCTAAACCTGTGCTTCAACTCCGGGGAACAGAAACAACGTCCAATGACAGTTATGTATGGAAAGATCGAAATAAAATGACCACAATTTTAGGTATTCACTTAATCTTATTAGGTATAGGTGCTTTTCTTTTAGTGTTAAAGGCGCTTTATTTTGGAGGTGTATATGATACCTGGGCCCCGGGAGGGGCTTCTGGCTTGGAGGCTAGCGATGACACCTCTCCTCTGCCGCTTCCTTTCTCTGTCGCCTGGTCCGGCTCCGCCTTCGTCGTGGGGTGGAATCTCTTGATCTCCTCCTCCTCCTTTCTTTTGATCCGCAAAAATCCGCTACAATCTCGACACTAAATCCCAACCAGGAGACAAAGATCGAACCAGGAGAAAAAGATCGAACCGGGGGCTGGGGTGTAGTTTTGGCGGCGGCGGTTGCTGGCGGTGGCTGAAGGTGGGTGTAGCTGGCAGTGGTGGTCGCCGGCGACGGCAGTCGGTGGCCGTCGCCGGCGGCGGGGTGGTGTAACTGTAAGAGCGGGTCGAATATCTGTAACTGAATGAGTTGGGTAACTCTAAGCGGATGAAAGCGGTAACTTTAACTGGACGGAATAGGGTAAATGTAACTAGACGGGCTGGGTAATTGTAATTGGACTAGACGGGTAACTGGAATTGTAATTGGACGAGACGGGTAATTGTGATTGGACGGTTTGGGTAAATGTAACTGGATGAGGCAGGAGATTGTAACTGGACGGGTCGAGTAACTGTAACTGGGCGGATCAGGTAATTGTCACTAGACGAGTGGATGTTGGTCACTGGACGAGAGAACGTTGGTCACTGGACGGAGTTTCTGGTCACTAATGGTTTTTGAATTGTTTTTTGTCACTGACGAATGTAACTGTAACCGGGGCACGCAACTATAATTTGTGGGGTGTGTAATTGTAACTGGTGGCAAATAATTGCTATTAATTAGATGGGACAGCGATAGTCACTGGAGCGAAAGTAACTAAAATGATGTCATTGAAGTAATAATAGTAAATGAGATGATGATCATTAAAGCGGTAGTAACTGGGATGACGATAGTCACTGGAGCATTAGTAACTGAGACGATGTCACTGAAGCAGTAATAGTAACTGAGACGAAGGTCACTAAGAGAGCGGTAGTAACTGAGGTGTTGGTCATTAGAACATTTTCACACAAATTTCATATCTTAATATTTATCTTCATAAATAATATTAAAATAAAAAACATTAATTTTCATCGACTCAATAACAAACATTTGTCACTCGTGTATTGTTAGAGATTGCATGGATCTTATTAAATAAAAAAAATCTTGTTAGAGTGCATTGCTACAGAATTATCTTATGGACTGCATTTTTAGTTAGCTACGGACCTACGGTGCACCGAAAGATAAGGAGGGCAAATTAGTAAAGAACGTGTTTCTTAGTCACTTTTTTTGGAATTTAAAAAGAAAAGTCTCTTTTTTGTCCATTGCTAATTTTTTTTTTGTAATATTTATGACAAAACCCCAATCTTATTTGCCAATTTTCTCTTTATTATTACTCCTCCATTCCTCTTCTTTTTGTAGATATATTTTTGAGTAGACTGAATTTAATTTAATTTGATTAATTTAAATCTCATATATACCTAAAACTTTATGGTATAGTATACCATATTCAAACTTTTAGAGCTAACTCGTCTTTTGAATTTATTAAACTTCACACACAATATTCTCAACAACATTTAACAATTAATTTCGTGTGCTCAATTGTGTAATAATTAAATTAAGTAAAATTGATTTACTGTAGTGATCATATAAATGTTTTTTATATGATATTTTAAATATCATTTCATATCCTCAATCTCATCACAACAGTGAATACTTCATCAATTTCTATTGTCAAATTAGTATGAATAATTCTTGGTGTACACAAAATTTATACACACTTGATATACATTTGTACGTAATTGTCTGTACACACAACCAATTTTTACGTACAATAAGTCAATAACGTACAAATGCATGTCAATTGCTAAGTGTATAATTTTCGTGTATAAATAAATTTTTTTCTTTCAAAATATTCTGGTCTCTCTCTCACGACTGTGCGGTACGGGCTCCTTTTCCTTAAAGTACTCTTTCCATCCCAATTGCACACTTCACCGGCTAATCGATCGTCTATCGCATTTGTCTGATTGGGAAGCAAAGCCCTAATTCTTCCCGGCGTCTAGCTCTCCGGGCTTTGTAAGTATTTCTATGATGAATGAGACTGCTAAAGATTCAGGAACGAACCCATTAGTTATTCTTCAGAGCGTCGTAGTCTCGTAGATATCGATCATCTGCTTTCCATTCAGGTATTCATCGTCTCCTCAAATTGCAGTCTTTCACTCTCATCTCCGTGTGCGAATAAGGTGTATATGTTCTGCTCAGTATTTGATAGTACCTATCAATTCATGTGACGGGAATGAGGATTGTGAACTTTGTGAAGAACATTTGGCCTTTGTCAATATTCAAGAACGACGACTTGAGGGTTTCGGAGAGATTAGTTAGGAAATTATCGATACCCGATTGCACGAAACAGTTTGTTTACGCGATTCCCGATCCTAACTCGGACGCTGTTATATACGTGGTTTGTGTTCAGAACCTCTCTGAGCAGTCGGCTATGGATGCTGAATGCGTGATTAGGGAAATCCGGCCAGATGCTGTGGTGGTCCAAGTGGATAACATGACTAGCGAGATTCTCAGGGAGGGAAATGAGAGTAAAAACAATAAAGGTTTTCTGAAGTTCATGCTTTTTGGTGGAAATGACAATGTCTGTGAGGAGATCTCGGTTCCAACCTCTGCAATTGAGGTGCTGAAGAGGTGCTTTATGCATAAGATTAACAAGGAGAAGTATGAGAGCATGGCAGGGAACTTGGTTTTGAAAGAGATTTTTGGTGTAGGGTTTGATGGATTTGTGTTGGCAGCAAAGAGAGCAGCAGAAGAAGTTGGTTCAGCTCTTTTATTACTTGATTCCCCTTTTGTAAAAAGCACAGATGATAATGAATGTTCTACTGCAGTGGGAGACGAAGGGCTGGGAGTTCTCGGTATAAGGACCCACAATGGTTTGGATCTTCAAAGGTCATTCCCAATCTTTCACACAGATAACATCCAAACTCAAATGGTTAGACTATCATCATATTTACTTAATTCATTTCCCGTTTCAAAAAACCAGTCCGAGAGTATCACTCCACAATTACAATATCAAGTTCCTCAATTTGCACAGTCTGTTTACCCTTTACTTGTCGATTTGCATGATAGTTTCATTGATATCCCTTCAATAACGAGAGCATTAGCTTACGCTCAGAAAATGTTGTACGATGTGAGTAAAGGAGAAATGGTGAAAGCAGAAGTCCTCTCTGAAGTTCATATATTCAGAACCGCAGTTGAGTCATTGAGAGTTGCATTAAATAAGGCCAGTCGGGCGCCTATTACTATTACCGGAAATGGAAGCCATGAGTTTCCTGACATGTCTATTGAGGACAAATCACAAGCACTTCTTGCACAGGCTCTCAGAAGCCAAACAAAGAAGTTCAAATCAATTGTTGCTGTAGTGGATGCCCGCGGGTTAGTCGGGCTGAGGAAACACTGGAACACCTGTCTTCCGTTGGAAATCAAAGACATGGTTGACCAGCTTGTGACTGACTGGGAGAGTGGCGAAACATCTAAGATGGACAGAAAGAGCTTACTGGCAGGAAAACCGGTGGTGGCAGTTGGGGCAGGAGCAACAGCAGTTTTAGGAGCTTCATCCTTATCCAAAGTGATTCCTTTATCAACTGTTATGAAGGTCGTCACATTTAAATTCCCCACCACAATTAAACTAATGATGACTCAACCCCAAAAGCTTGCAGCTATTATGCTTGGGAAGTCAAAGGTTGTGGCCCCAGGGATGGGCCTAAAATCGTCTGTTTTCAGGGCAGCTGCATCAACTGAGAAAATCCGTGTCGTGGCTCATAGCTTCATAACCTCGGCCCAGAAAACCAGTTTCTCTGCCATGAGGAGTGCTTTTTATGAGATTATGAGGAAACGGCATGTACGTCCAATTGGTGTTTTGCCATGGGCCACATTTGGGTGCAGTGTGGCCACCTGCACTGGATTAATTGCTTATGGGGATGGGATTGAGTGTGCTGCTGAGTCACTACCGTCTGCTCCTTCGATTGCTAGTTTGGGTCGTGGGATTCAGAGTTTGCATGAGGCATCAAAAGCTGTGAGGCAATCTACAGGAGTCGTCCCTTCTTATGTAAAGTTAAGAACGTAAAAAAAAGTCTCATTTCCTTTCTTTTGTGCAACGTGGCTCAGAGTGAATCTGGGGCTTCTATTAGCGTTGTCTGTATATATAATTGGGTATAGAGAGGCTTGCTGTTGTAAGCAGTTTCAACTAATGAGGGCGCTGCATCAAAATTTCAAGGAGATATGCACTTACTGATAGCTTACATTTTTTCACTGGAAAACCAGATTTTTTTTGGCTTTTCATGCAGAGATAAAAGTACATACTTGTAGACATGTAGACATGTTGTAGCCTGCACAATGTATTAAGGAACTCCAATATATTTCAGATACTTGCTGACCCCAAACTCATGTGTCGATTCATGTTAGCTGGCCATAAACTCATTACTCATGTGTCGATTCATGTTAGCTGACCATAAACTCATTACTCATGTGTCGATTCATGTTAGCTGATCCCAAACTCTTATGGGACTAAGGCTTGGAGTTGTAGTTGTTGTTGCTGACTGGAAAAGAAAACCTGTAGAAGTTGAGGGACGTCTTTTGTATTTTACTTGTGTAATTTTTTCTTTAATTTAACCTGTCTGCATTGGGTAGGCGACCACCCTCGTGTTCATACTTCATATAGCTCGGCTTTGAAGCTCCCCTAATTCAATATAGATCACATTCACCTTGATGAAATGATGGGTAATATAGTTGGGTGAGCACTTGTGCTTAAGGAAGGCAGATATTAACTCACTATGGCAATGTTGATGCCAACACATGTTGGCACACCAAGTATTCAATTCAAACGAAATTACACCAACACATGTACTAAAGCACAATCTCTATGTGCTTTACTACAAGGGTATATGGGTGGACTGGTTCCGGTTCAGGCCCGGTTCGGGCCTGGCCCGAACCGCGGCCGGGCCTCGGTTAAGAAATGGGAGGCCCGGAACCGGCCCGGGTAATCCCGGGTCCGGGCCGGGACTCGGTTCTATTTTTTTTTTTTTTTTTGGGCTTTTCCTAATTAACCCCCAACCCTCACCCCCAAACCACCCCAAACCACCTCAAATGGCCCAAAATACCAAGCCCAACCCAAAAACTTAAAAAAAATTCAAAAAAAAAAATGGCCCGAACCGGCCGGGCCGGTTCGCCAATCAAAGGGCCCGGGCCCGAACCGCACAGTAACCGGGCTGGGCCGACCCGAACCGCCCCCGGACCGGTTCCCGGGCCGAGCCAGTTCAAACAGTAACCGGGCCGGTTCCGGGCCTTGCCGCCCGGCCCGAGTCCATCCCACTGTAGGTGGGAGCTTTTGCGACACTGTGGTAAATGAAAATGATGAAATGATGATGATCTGTATGTGTATAAGATAAGAGTTTCCCTTCACAAACTCCGGATTTAAGGCTTACACCTTTGTAAGTTTCTTCTCTAACCATCTAAGGACAGAAATGCAATACTAAGATAACTTGGATAACCTTCTCTCAATAAATGTAATACTAAGACAATTTGGATAACTTTCTTTCATTTTATTTCTAAAATTATGATCTACATTCTTACGTAACAATACGTAGGCTATTTATAGGAAAGCTAACCTCTTGACTAAATACTAATGTATTAAAAGTGATATCATGGCTTGCATAGTTGCACCATCCTAGATATTATAATACTACGTAACAAAATAAACCTCAAAATCATCGAAGTGGTTTCTTTCCCATGAAAATTCCGTCCAATACTCTATCACCACCTATCATAAAGGATTAAGGTGAGTAAGTTCCTGATGAAAAATAAGGTGCTTAGATGACATGAGTGGCGAGTAAAGTGTTTAGGTATCGCATAGGATGAGTAAAGACTTTAGCCGATTAGTAAAATGATAAGTGAAGGTTTTAGTTATAAGTAAGACGTTTAATTCAATAAGTGTTAGATTGTCCTGAACATCATTTACTTAGTATAATCCATCCCTACTGTGGACAAAGCCTTTATGCTTTCAATATGTTACACTTGTATAGACTATGTTCTCATTTATTCTCAATTTCTCACCCTAAATTTATAATTCCTTTGTGTATCTCATCTCTTAGTAGCATCAATTACATTATTGGGCAATCAAAACATGTGAACAAAATAAAGTTATATTGCCATACATTGATTACATTCATTAGCAATGTTATATATGACAAACCAAATGACCAATATAATTCTACTGAAATTGGAGGTTCAGAGTAAAGATGTGTTATCATTGACAAATTAAATTAAGTTCACCGGTTAGAGTTCCAGAGTGCACTAATGCACTATAATATATTCTCCAATTTACTTGGTGACATTCTATATTGCATATAATAATTTTGGTTGATATTACGAAAGATGATGCATGGTGTTTTTTATCATTGAGCAATGTTAACTATGAAAACTTTATAGCTAACTTATGATTTGTTCTCTTATAGGTGCAACATTGGTGAACTTTCACTATTCACACATTCAACTTTGACTACATTTTATTTATTAATGTATTATAAAATAAAGTTCGAAAAACATTGTTAAATTCTTATCATTTTATAATTTCAAATCTGATTTTTTTAATTTGTCTATCAGTAAGGAGTGAAAGATTTTAATAGTCAAACTCGTGCGTTGATAAATGTGAAAAATGATCCGTTATAAATAAAGAAGAAGGGAGGAAGTATATAAATGAGCGAGTTGGCTGCCCATCGGAAAGTCGGAAATATATACGAAGTATATAAATAAATGGATTAAACCCTAGTTAACTAAATGAGTTTGTATTAGGAGAGAATAGTATATACTACGGTGTATAAAAAAGTACAATGTATATTTGCAATTAAATACTAATACATTCATATTTATACTACCTCCCTTCGTTCTTAAATAAATGCAACACTTTGATTTTTACACTATTCACATATTCTACTTCGACTATGTTTTATTTATTAATATAATAATATTTTTTATGAAAAGATATTGTTAAACTTGTCTCATTGTCAATTTTCATAATCTAATATTTTTAAATTTTTTACTCATACAAAAGCATATATATTAATGGTCAAAGTTGTGTCTCGACAAGTGTGAAATGTTGACCGTTGCATTTATTTAATAATGGAGGAAGTATATTTTATATTTTTTGGTGTGCCATATAAAATTATTTTTATTTATGAGATGCTCACTATACTTTCATTTACGGAGTATTATTTTGCATTTTTCGCATTTTCAGAAAATTCCCGTAAGAAAGTTTTGCAATTTCAGAATCCTTCTATTTTGAAATTTCTAAACTTTAAACAAGGAAGCGAAGTAGGAACACAAAAACGGAACAAGAAAGAGGAGAAAATGGGGAGCAACCTGAATGCGGTGTTCTACGCCAAGAAGTACCATCCAATTCAATGCGGCAGCATCGACGGCACCGATATTCTTCCCCACGACAACGCTGTTTACCGGGCACTCCTCTGCTCAAATGCCGGCCTCTGTAACGTCTCTCTCTCTACTCATCACTTCCTTTTTTTTCCGATAAGACGGAGTATTATATTAATATTTGCTCACTTTTCTCTGTATAGATGATCCTTTTGGCGACCCCAAAGCCTTGGGAGATCCTTACTGCACTCTCTTCGTGGCTCGTCTCTCTCGCGTCACTACTGAACACACTCTTCGCGAGGTTGCCCCCATTTTTTCTTCTACTGTGTTTTGGGCAATTGGACTTTCCTCGTATTTTTTGTTTTCTTTATTTGATCAGCTTGCAAGTTGTAATTTTATATCAGTGTAGATAATAGCGGCAACTCTGTTTGAATTTCCAGGTGATGAGCAAATATGGAAGAGTGAAGAACTTGAGATTAGTTCGCCACATTGGTAAAATTTTGCTTTGTGCTGTGCGTCATCCTTTTTTTCCTTCATTGTCTTTTTAATGATACTAGTTATATGACGTGCGTTCCGCGAAGGAGAAATGCCCAAAATGATTTAGTAGGGATAATATTAAGATATTTTGTTCAATCTTTTTAAGATAACATAGAATAGTTATATAAAAAATTGTGTAGTTTATTTTGTTTGATGGTAGTAATAAACGTGTATATTTCCTTGTGTGCGCTATAGTGAAGTGCACTCTATTGAAAATGCTTGTGATTAGCTTATTAGGATAGTGAGATTTCAAAGTGGAAAGTCTAAATTATGAAGAAAATCAGTTTGGTATTACTCGAGTAAGTATTCTTTCACGAGCCAACACATGTGACTATTGACTGACTGTTGAGTACGGAGTATATTTTATGCTACAGAGAACGACTATTCATGATTTTTTGGTAACCTCATTCAACTCGAGTTCATGACTTCATGTCCTGGGGCATGTGGAAAATGATGTATTCATTGGTAGAGATGATTAGGGATTTTATATGAAAGATAACCTAATATGGAGTAATTTTTTCCCCTGTTTTGTTGCTCGATGTAACTCCTTTTAAGAAGTTTTGCACCCACCCACCTGTCCTTTCCCTTAGAATGTAGAAAGTTGGTGAAGTAGTTAAACCATACGATATTACTCAGCTCTCATAGTTATACCTCTGCAAGCACTGATCCAATTTAATTAAAACACACATGCTATGGTTGGAAGCAAGACGGTCACAACAGGAGGTTCGCGGGACTTGATGTCTCTAGTGGGGTATGAAATCGGGTTGATTGGGTTAAAGGGGATGACTGAATATCCAGCTAAAACCTGTTTGTGCAGCTTTATCTAACTCTTGTTACTACCTCTGTCCCTGAACTATCTACATTCGATTATGCACTGTTTTTAATGAAGTAGAAATTGAGTGATTGATTTTTTTAAGAAGAAAGAGAAAGAATATCAATCACATAATCATTTCCCCAAAAGGAAAGAGGATATAATTTAGGGACAAACAAAAAGGAGAGAATAAATATATCAAGATAAAAAGGGGACAATAGAATTATTAACTCTTTGGGGCATGTAGACTACATTACTGAGGTATAAACATAATGGATTGATAACTGGTATGTCTATGCATTTTGCTAAAAAAACTTCACACATGATGCTATGCTAACCAACTTTAATTTTGCTAATTTGCAGTAACAGGTGCTTCATGTGGTTATGCCTTTGTTGAGTTTGAAACAGAAAGAGATATGCGGCGGGCATACAGGGTAATGTTTTTCAATTGAATGAGTGGTGGCAACTATCATATTCATTGTATGTAATGCACAGAGATTGGCTATTGGGATTGTACTCCCCAGTCACATCTTTTCTCTTAGGATTGTTTTGTTTAAAACCTAATGTGAGAGTTTACAAATGTATTCCTTTATGTGCTAGTACATTATGCTTCTAATTGTCTTGTTTCGCTAGTGGTGGGAACGGTTCAGGATGGGTTGGGGTTTGGGTTGTCCTGGTCCCAATCTTTAGTTAATAATAACGGTTAGGGACCGGGATGATTTGGGACGTTATGGGACATTTCCAAAGTATATAAACATTTCTATAGTACATGTGCACAATTGCACAAAACAATCAACATTTCTAAAGTCAATAAAATTTAATAAGCAGCTATTTATAAAATAACTAAAAGCTATTAAATTTTCACTAAATTTTTCAAAAAAAAAAAACACACACAAAATCGAAATTAAATTTAAAAGAAAGCTAACGATGA